TTTCAGTGGCGTTGAAAGACTCACCTTTGACTCACTGCCCATTTATTAACCAGAACTTCTCTGATATCTGAGTTTGCCAAGGTGCTATTCTTCGGCCCAGATGACCTTCCCGCCCCCTTCCTTTTCCTCCTACTCTGGTCACTCCCTTCAGTGCCTTCTTCTCTCTATGTTGGTCTTATTGATCTCAAAGGATGCGGGAGGTATTTGTATTATCACATAAGCATGTTAAATTATGGTTTTTCTGTGAATTTTTTAAGAGCATATTTTGAATTCTATTGTTGGTATTTCCAGCGAGAAGCATAGAGCACATGGTAGGTGCTTAATAAATGCTTGATGAATACATAAATGAATAAATACCTGTAAAACATATGATGGCACAGCAGCTGTTGCTTCTGTCACTTCTCATGTGTCTCAGTGGAATTCTTTTTTTGCATTTGAACACTATTCTCACTGAGAAGTAAACAACCTCCTTTTTGCCTTTTCCCTTAGGTGATTCCAAAGGTGTCATATGTTACCTATGGCTTGCAAATAACTCTTTATCCATTGTCCTTTCTGCTTCTTTACTTTAGAAAACAGTTCTACTTTGTATTAGAATTCTCCTCTGATTGGGAATCCACATCAAAAAGACTTTAATTCCTGATAGTGATTATGAAAAATTTCACTGAAGGATAAATCCTCTATGCTGGCTACTGTGCTAGGAATTTTCAACACATTTTCTCATTTAATCCTCAGACTAATCTCCATTTTAAAAAGTATTATTTTTTGTTTTTAAAATGTAGATGCTGAGGCTTAGAGGTTGAGTAACTTGCCCAAGACCATTTCCCTAATAAGTGGAAAAGTCAGAATTTGAAGCCAGATTCATCTGAACAATCATCCACCCAAGGAGGAGCCATGAGAGCACTGTGTTTCAGCAGCTTTCTGACTGCAGCACAGGATGGTTCTCCGGGCATCAGGTCCGCGGGAAAAGCAGGTATGAGCACATGGCCATGATTCCTGTGCAGGATGCTGTGATTTCAGCTGGGATCTGTTGATGTGGTGATGAGGACAAAGAAAAGCAGAGAGACTGTGAACATATTTAGAACATAAAATTTGAGAAATTTTGAGATAGATTAGATGCAGGAGGTTAGGCAAGGGAAGACTTGCTGGCAACTTTCTAGTACCTACTTGGTTGCCTGGGTGTATGGGGGCATCATTCACTCAATAGAAAATTCTAGAAAGGGAACAGGAATTGGTGAGAAGATAGTGAGTTCAGTTAGGAGGATGTAGTTAAGAGTGTCTAAGTAGAACTTCTAGTCGACATTTGCATATATGAGCCTGAAATTCAGAGAGAATGACCTGAATCTTCTATAGGGCCATTTGTGCTGTGTGATCATTTGATTTAAAGTTCTTTTTAGCTATTAAAACTTTTACACTTAATAATAGGAGGAAATCAAGGGAGTGAATCAGAGTTTCTTAGAGAAACCTGTTCCATATTATCCTGTTAAATGCTTGGGTGAGGTTTCCCTCTTTACTGCATTTTTCCATTGCCTAAAATCATTCTACATCATTAAATTTATTGTATTGCGTGTTGCTCACTGTCTGGAAACAAATAGCTGATTGTGTCTCCTCTACTTCTGTAGTATCAAACTTATCTTGGTTGTGAGATGAACGATCCACCTCCATGAATTATCTACAACTGTCTCCTTGAAAATATATGCCATAATATCTATTTTTCTTCGACATCATCTTCTAATTTCAAAGAATTATCATTTTTACTCTAATTAAACATTTGGCCTTTCACTATTGCCTTATTTATAATCCTGGACACAAATGAAAATATCATGATTAAATAAATCTTAGGAGTCCCAGCTCAGATTATCTCAACAAAGAAACTGTAAAATGCTCTAAGACAAAAAGAAATACAGGATGGAAATGAGAGATAAAAAGCATTATCTCACTGAACAAAGGAAAGAAGACATGAAAGCCAAAATGTGCTGACTACAGATCTCTTGCCCTTAAGCTGAGTGTTCGGTGTGGCTTCCTTCATGGAATAGATGGTTGCAAGGAATTTGGGTCTCCCAGCATTTCAACACTCTTCATATGTTTGTGAGTCCCCCACTCTCCATCACACTGTAAAGAGCTGGTTCCTGCTAGAGAAGCTGAAAACATCACAGTTGTTCTCCTAGACCCAGGAAGCTAAGGAATGGGCATGTGACCCAGACCTTGGCAATGAGAGATAGCCACTCCACACTCAAAGCTGGATGCTGCTAACATGGAAAAGGAGGGACAGCATGGACTCTGTTCTAGTGAAAATGGCAGCAGCAACATCACGTTTTCTGAGGCAGTAGAAAGTGGCTCTGGGGACTGAGTGTGTGTCTACTGCCCATGAGTTGGAACCACACATTGTGGACTCTGTGTCCAGCTCTTGCTGCAGTTGTGTCTTCATCAGACCAGCTCTGCCATATGAGGTTTTGGACACTGCTTTTGTTTGCAAAGCTTCCATGCCTGGCCCTTCTAGAGGTTTTGTAAGCTACCCAATACCCTTTTATTAAAACTATTCTTTGCTCACGTTAGCTAGAGATGTTGTCTGTTGCTTGCAACTGAGTGATCCATCCTAATTCCATGCGATGTACTACATTTTAACTATCTCAGCACTTTGTCCTCCTATAGGTCTTCTCCAAGAATGTCATTAGAATGAATTTCGCTTTGTCTTGTGTTATATTTACATATTTTATTAAAAACAGATTTTTGAGTGCAGAGACTGTATTTTATTCATTTTCATTCTCTGCTAATGCCTCATTCCAAATGCCTTGCACATGGTAAAGAGTATGTATGAAATTGACGTGAGCAGGATGTAAGTATAGCTGCATGAAGATGACATGGGCTAAACCCACCCCTGGCAGTGGACTGTGCAACTCTGAAAAACCCTGGAAAGAACAGGTATCCTCTCATAGTAAAGACTTAGGCAGTATCATGTTCCTTCTGAGGCTTTGTCTGTTAGGTCTGGGACATTGGTCAGTAATAGCCAGAGTGATGGTGGCAATCCCTCCTCTAAGAGTCCCCCATCAGAGTCCATTCACTGAACAATAACAGTTCAGATCACAGTGCCTACTGGGGCTTCTGGTGAGTTACGATAGTGGACCCAATGTGATTTCTTTTTTCAGAAGCTTCTTTCCTTGTTTTAAAAAAGAAAAAATAGTCCCTAGAACCAGCAACATGTTGTCTTATTTCTGTGGATCTCTTTCCTTTATGTACATGAAAACAAACAAACCCTGTGTTTAGTTTGCATCTATTTCTTATACAGACATGCCCACTAGCCTAATTTTCATAATGCTTATTGAACATGTGTATAATATGGTACCTGCAGTCATATTTCACTGCTATTTGGCAGGAGTCTAGTGATCATATCTCTGTTAAGTTATAACCAGGAAACCTGAAACTGACCAAAGATGTAATTTATGAGATATACCTCATGAATTAGCTTGACTTGTATCTATGGTTGGATATAACCTAAGATAGGTAAAAGGGGAAGAAGTTCAATTCGTGTTGACCATAGATATAACTCATGCTAATGCACGAAGTTGATTACTGGTATTAGCATGTACTTGCTTCTCAGTTTTAGTTGTGGTCTTGATCCCGTAACTGCACAAAAGTCTTAAAGCAATAGATGAATTAGACTTCTACTCTTCCTCTTACCTGTATATTATGACCTAGCAAAGGGCATTATATATTTGTCAAGTACAGTGATTGCAGCTTCTTTTGGTGGAGAGATAAATTTATCTTTAAAAAACTGTAGGAACTTTTGTAATTTCTCTGTCTCTCATAGCTCTATTGTTAAGTGCAAATTTGCCTTTATCTAACTAGGGTCTTCAGTATAGTGTTTAAGAGCATAGTATAGTGTAGTAATTAAAATATGGCCCCTGATATCAGACTGCTAGTGATCAAATTCCAGCTTTACCGTTAAATAGTTTTGAATTATTAAAGTAATCACCCCTTGATGTCCTGATCTGTGAAAAGAGCATAATGACCTATATCGGTGTTGTGAGGAGTAAGTTAATTTTCACATATGGAAACTTAGAACAGAGCATGGTTCTTAATAAGACCTCAATCAGTGTTACCTATTATTGTCCAATTTTCCTGTTGTTTATCTTATTTGCAACTGAAAAGATAAGGCCATTCATTAGGTTTTCTAAAACTACAGACATTGGAATTCAAAAGGAGCAAAACACTAACATTGAAGCACTAAGCCTCTTAGCATACATAATAGGTCTGTAAGATGTTAAGTCCAAATTAATTTTTAAAACTTAGTAAAGTCGCCAATCATTATTAATTACCTTCTATTCCACTCAAACACTGTTTCATAGACAAATAGATTTTTATCAATTTAGGTGCTAGTTTTTTGGAGATCATAAACATATGACTCAAAGTGGAATCATGCCATTTTAGATATTTTAGACTTGGAAGGGTCTTGGATAGTGGATGTTCTCATTTTCTCCCTGAAAAGGAAACCCATTTGCCCAAGGTCTCACAATACTTAGGAGTTACAAGCCCAATATGACCCATATTTTGAGTAGCTGTAGGACTAACTGGAAGGAAGGGAGTTTGCTCTCTTGGACTGTAAAGTTCTATTAACTTACAGGACACACACAAATACAAAAATGTAATCTGCAAGAAAGCAGTATATAAAAATAGACAAAGTTAGACTGCTATTCAAAATATGTCTTACAAAGTAAAATTCATATTATAAGGGAAAAAATCATTTATATAACTGAATTTCACAGGTCACTAACAATTTAATCTTAAGAGTTTATTATTCTTGTTATTCAGGTCTCAAGGCAAACGTCACTGCTTCAGGGAGGACTTCTCCAACCATCCTAGCTAAAGAGCTCCCTCCTTCCGTCACTCTTTACCCTTAATAGCTTTTATTTTCTTCATATTTTATACCAAAAATTATATTCTTCCTCTCTCTCTCTTCCTCTTCTGTACTAGAATGTAAATTCCATGAGGATATAAGGCATTTTGTTCTACTGGAACACTTCAGGAATTTGCGTGTCATCCACATGCAGGGGCCATGCTAACATTCTCTGTATCGTTCCAGTTTTAGTACATGTGCTGCCAAAGTGGGTGTGACACTTTGTTTAATATTATATTTCTGTGTGTTAGAATCATACCTGGCACATAACAGTCTCTCAGTAAACATACATTCATTTGATCAAATGAATACATGAAGGCCCTGCTAAAGAAGCTTGATTTAACTTTGAGATTCTAGTCAGGACAGTTGAAGAATTTTGTGCAGCAGAGTAATACGATCACATTTACATGTTGGAAGGACACTCTGGAAGCATTGTGAGCATACCATCTCCAGTAGCAATCAGAAAATTGAATTTAGTTTTGGATTTCATTTGACAGCATTAGCAAATGTCATTTGGAGTAAAGAAAGGCATGAGATTTTAAAATAATTGGAAATCAGAAGAATAAAAGAAGAAAACGGAAAGAGGAGAAAGGGAAGAGGAAAAAAAATACAAATTAAAGGTTTGTGAAAACAAACGCCTAAGAAAGTTAACTCCAGACAACCAAGCAGTTACATCTCAATGAGGGGGAGAGGCTTGGAGAGGCAGCAAAGGTTAAATGGACTAAAATAATTTCCTGGCATGAGTTTTGGGTTATGAGACGCTCTATCTCTGGATATCAATTTGGATCCTTATTATTTTCAGAGCTACTTCACCATCTTTTCACCTGTGGTTTTCGTGAAATTTTGTACTGACATATGGACTTAGTGATCCAGAAAGTTGCTTGTGTCTTGGGCACTCTCAAAGGTCACACATAAGCACCCAAGCAAACTGCTGGTGGGATTGGGTGACGGTGCGAATGAACTGAGCTGACTTTCTGTGTCTTTCAATATAATATTGGTGGCTGTTCACCACAGCAGAGAGTAACAGGAACTCTTAGCATGCTGAATTCAATTCTAGAATCTCAGGTGTCGAAAAGAAGAGGTCATAAAATTAACTCTCAGTTAATGGAAGAAGAACAGTGTCATGAATCACACCACATGATAGATCATTTGAAAATTGCTTATAAAAATGGGACTTTGGAATGCACTCTTTGACTTCTTTGGCAGAGGATTTACATCTTCTTTGCTTTGCTTAAGCTAATAGTAAAATTAGTTTGCCGTCCTTCCGCATTTGGAAGATATTTGGCAGCAGTTGGATGGGAGAAGAGTAGGAGAAAAGGAAATACAAAGTAAATGGGGAGAGAGAAGGAGCTGAGAAGCACGTTGGCTGGCTGGAAAGTCAGGCCAGGGAAAAAGCTTGCCACGTGTAACCTGTATGGTGCAAACCCATGCATACACAATGAAAAATGATATAATTAAAGGAACCAAGCCTGATAGAATCAGCATTCAATAAATATTTGTTGAATGATTAAAAAGATTTTTTTCTTTGCATTTGAAGCAAGGATTTCTTATCTTATTGGAAATCTGCAAATGGTTTATTCAGCATTTTTATTGGATGCTGCGTTGAGAAGAAGGCACAGAGATCCTCTTCCCCTGCTCTTTATCTTCCTCTCATTACTCTTCAGACTGACCCTGAAGTAGTCGAAAAAAAAAAATGCTTTTAGGCCTTGGGTATGAAACCAGCCATTGCAGCCATGCAACCAGAAGTTAATATAGCCGTTTTTCTTCAAAAGCAATGTGTATTGGCTCTTAGGTATATGTTTTTAGAAGATTGGAGAATGAGTTACTTTAGTCTGAGGACCCCTGCTCTTGAACACGTTGCCATTTTTGATACTTGTCTGTCGAATATGTGCACAGTTAGTTACCATTGGTAAAGCTCTTGGCCTAATCTCTGCTGCCCTGCTACTTCTGACAAGGGTCAGGTCTATCTCCTCCAGCCTTATTAGAGGATGGTACTATGGCTAGCTCGTCAGCACAGCCTGAGGCACTGGGACACTCAGCTAGCCCATGCTGCTGCTTTTGTACCCATTGGGACCCATTGATAAAGTGATCCAGCTCTTGCAGGATCTGCAGCTATGAGAACACTTGCACCACACCCTGCCTGGAGTGGCGTGAGATTTGAAGACTTCATCTCCTCTTTGCCAGGTATCCTCCATTCTCTTTTCCACTAGACTTCAGCAGGACCAAGACATTAATGCTTGCTTGTGTTTGTATCCAGGTGGTGTGAATCTATAACTCCATATAAATAGACTAATCTTGGAGAGAATCCATTTTGCATCTCCATCATCAGACTATACAAGCATCTGTTCTAAGCTACTGTGTCTCAGATATCTCACATATACCTATCTCTTTGTGTTGTGGCAGTGGAGTGTCAAACAAGTAGGGGAAAGGCACACAGGGAACAGTTCTGACCAGACACCATCCAATCACCCTAGGGATATCTGTACTACTCCAAAAATTGTGATCTAGCAACCATACTAAAAGAAATTTTAGAGATCTCAATTAAGAACACTCATCATTATAGATTATTCTCCTTTATTACTTCCAAACTGCTGATGGAGTACAGAAACAAAAACCAAAGTCCACGTAGCTCTGTGGCATTTGTCAATGTCCTTTTATGACAGAGCTAATAAAATATGAGCTGCATTTATATTGGTAATTGTGTTAGACTATATGTAATAGAAATTTGACCTCAGTGGTTTAATAGAGTAGGGTTTTATTTTTCTTACATACTCAAGTATGGAGGTACAAATTCTAGTTCTTTAGGGTAGCTCCATGATGTTGTCTAGACCTCAAGCTCTACCTACCTTTCTGCTTTGACTCCCTTACTGCTTGACTTTCTTCCAAGATGGCTTTTTTTTTTTTCCTTTGAGCATCACATCCAATTCCAAGAAAAAAGAGCGGAGAGTGTGGGAAGAGGGAAGATAAAAAGCAAAAGTGATAAGCTGGCTGAGTCTGTCTTCTTTGTTTTTCAGGAAGGCAATACTTTTCCTAAAATCTTAACTGAGTAGATTTCTACTTCCATTTCTTTGATCAGAACAGGACCAAATGGTCACATTTAGCAAAATAGGTTACAAAAGTTGAGAATTTTTTTTCTTGCTGTTTCAGACAAATCCAGGGCCCTATTGGTGAAAATGTAGATAACATCGTATTGGTAAAGTTATTGGTTAGTCAGCTTATATTTTTGTCATGCTATAATATATGGAATAAACATTTTTCCAAAATTCATACTCCAAATGATTCATCATCTAGGTTAATTCAAGCTTCTGTAAAATAAAGCAAACAGCTAACCAGATTTTAACAAACTTTTGTTGGTTCAGAGATGGTGTGGATATTAGACCTAGATCTCAAGGGCCTTATCTATTTTTCATCCCTACTAGACTGTGAGCTCTGGTGAAGGGTTAGGGAAGGCAGTGAGGAAGAGTAGGGTCTGTAGTTGTTTTTTTTTCCCCCAAGCACCTAATGCATCACATATAATAAGAGCTCAAAAGAACATGTTTGGGAGGCCGAGGTGGGCAGATCACGAGGTCAAAAGGTCGAGAACACTTTGGCCAACATGGTGAAACCCCGTCTCTAATAAAAATACAAAAAAATTAGCTGGGCATGGTGGCACGTTCCTGTAGTTCCAGCTACTTGGAAGGCTGAGGCAGAAGAATAGCTTGGACCTGGGAGGCAAAGGTTGCAGTCAGCCGAGATGGTGCCACTGCACTCCAGCCTGGCTCAGAGTGAGACTCTGGCTCAGATTGAGACTCTGTCTCAAAAACAAACAAACAAAAACCAAAAAACCCCACGTTTAATGATGAGTGAATGGAGTAAAAGTCAGCAGATCTGGGAGGATTTGGCATCATCACTGATTGGCTACAAGATCTTGAGCACATGGCTTGACCTTTTCATTATCTGCTTTTCCCCAAATCTGAAATGGTGCCATTATATGCAAATGCCTCATGGGGCTGTAAAGAAGGTCAAATAAGATAATGCATGATAAAGAGATTTTGCATGGTATAGGTATTTACAGTTTGCAAAGTGCTTTCAGTTCTACTTCCCCTCTTGACTTTCTAGCCCTGATAGTTCCTCTTTAGCACTCCATTATTACCTCAGTCCCATCCCTTGCCTGTACACTGAAGAGAACAGCCATCACTGAATTGACTTCTGATAAGAAAACTAAAGCTTGGATGTCTCATCACTCATCTAAGCTCATATAAATTGTAAGTGGCAAAGCTTGATGTTCAGGTTTGAAAAAAACAGCATGCAATAAGCCTTCATTATTTATAGCCTGCTCCTTTCAAAAAAGGATTTAAGGGGATGAGAAGTTGTTATTACTTTAATCTGGTCACTCTGAGAAACACATGCATGCAATAGCTTATAGATAGTTTAAAAGATAAAGTATCATTTAGTCTACTGAAGAAAAGATTGAAAGCCCTCATGAAGGGTTTTCAAGAATGTAAGGGAACCATGGATATAGGATGAAAGGAGTTAGAGAATAATAAAATTAGGTTAAGTACTGTTAAATAGTCAGGGTTTAAAAACTCTAAAATGGGTTAATAAGGTTGCTTACTCTAGGAGTTTTAAAAACCAGAATAAATTCTTATCTGTGGGAGGTAGTTCAAGTACAGCATGCTAAAATAGACCATGTGGTCTGCCTCCTTAAGTGTGCCTTTGAGCTTTATAATCTCTAAACTCTTAGAATTCATTATCACTTCTGCTTATTTACTTCAAAATAACAACTGACACTTTACAATTTACAAAGTGCTTTCACACATAGCCTCTCATTTAATTCTCACGACAACCTTCTAATATATTATACACATTTCCCAGAAGAAGCAACTAACAAAACTAAAATTTGAGCCAAGTTCTTCTAAATCTAAATATGATGCTCTTTTCTGGAAAATTCATCTCCCTCCTATTTCTATGTGGTCACATGGTGGCTGGAGAGCTGATGAGTTTGTTGACTTTCACTTTAAATATGCTTCCTCTACAGTCCTGGGCTACAGTACAGGCTTGGTTGGTGGATCCAGTCTCTATCCAGTTGCTTCAGTCAGAGATGTAGGACTCAAGCTCGACTATTTACTTTCTCTTTCCCATCTCTGCTCAATCATTAAGACCTGTTGATTTTAGCTTTTAAATACATTTCAAAAATGTCTCTTCCCTCCAGCTCACCACTTTTTCAGTTTGG